GAAACATGTTTCTTATAGGTTTTCGACAATGCTCTTTCCAGTGGCATCGTTTTTAAATCTTGAGAAAGTTTCCTGAAGGGTTTTCCAGAGACCGAATCTCTGCAAAACTCCTTAGAAAACTTTTTCAAAACACAACTCTCATGCCATTAGAAAGAGGATCATGAAAAACCTATAGAAAAATAGTTCATGAAATTTTCGTTCACTTATAAAGCTAAAGTCCGCCTGCTCTACACTCTAAAAAAAAAGGTATTTCAAAAAACCCTAAAAAGTATTCTCCATTTGAGAAAAACCAAAAAAAAGGTATAACCACCCGTGAAAAACGTTTAAAGGGTTTAACCATCTGAAACATATCATAACTGTTTAAAAGTTTCTTCTTATCAAAAAACCAATTTTCGTTTTCTAAAATACGGCTAAATTATATTCTGAAAAACGATTGAGGTTTTTTCATGTCACAAAAAAACCTTTCAGGTATTTTAAAATACCAAATCACGGCTTTTTCATATTCTAAAAATGCCTAAGGGTTTTTCTGATAAAAGCAAAAAACGTTTAAACAGTTATGATATGTTTCAAATGGTTATACCATTTTTCGTATTTTATAATACCTTTATTTTTTAGAGAGTAGCAAAAAATGCCCACTGTGTAGATGGCCAATATACAGCAACAATTGTCCTTTTACGCCTTTTCGCGCAGCATACTTATGTTCTATTTTATCTACGTTTTTCTTATTTCAGAAAAGTGACATTAAGTGCTCAAGAACTCAATATTCTTGTGCCACCTATGCCATCACCATCACCTAGAAGTTCAATATTATTTGACGATATACCATCAAGGAAAATTTCATTCGTACGTATGATCTCTCATTGATGATTATTTGGTTTTTTTTCTTACCTCAGGATAATCTTGAATACTCTCCGGTGAACGATCGTCACTATTTAATGTCGTTGAACAATGGTGCTAGTATTCAACGTCGAAATTCAACAAAACGAAATAGTTTACGATTAAGAGGTTTATTACGAAGTTGGACATGTTCATCTAAAAAGAATATATCGAGATTGGTAACACCAAAACAACAGCATCAGTTAACAAATAATGGATCATACGAAAGTCAGAAAAGTAGACAAATTAAGCTAAGCGTAGATCAAGCATCGATACCGTTGCATTTACAAAGTGAGGATGAGCGAATAGGTGAAAAAACTGTCTCAAAAATTCCAGCGCCGCAAAAGCAGAAAAATCCAGATGAAAACATGAGACGTTCGTTGACAAAGTTTGAAAAGGTATATATTTCTATAAGTATCTGAAACTCACTTAGAGATTATTCCATTATAATTTTTGTGTAGCTATCATAAAGTAATACAAAGAAAATAATATTTTTATTATTTTTATTTTATTTAGAATTCTAAGAAGGGTGTTGTTCTTTCATCGCTAGTTTCAACTAAAAGCGAACTAAAAGTCGATTGGAAAACATTGAAAAATGATTCAACTATTGTTAGAGAAGTACTTAGTGATGATGACCATGTCCAAAAAACGAAGACAACAGCCGATAATATTATACGATTAGTTTTTGACGGTTTACGCTATCAATACGAAGATAAAAAATCATTGACACTCACCCCTACTCAACCGTTATCGTCAACTGCTGCTGTTGTGTCTGCCACTCTTCCTTCAAACATTCCTGTTTCAAAACCACTACAGAAATCGCAGTATACTCACTCACCATTCATATTTCGTCCATCAGTCTCAACAGCAGCAGCTGGTGTTCATTACACAGGCGGTACTGTGTCTTTATCAAGTATGAGTGAATCGTCCAATTTAGCAAAAATGATGATATTAAAACAACAACAACCCAAAATTCAAAGTGCACACACAACATTAGGTGTGTAGAGCCAGTCTCTCTTCTACTCTCGTCTAATAAATTTCGTACAAAAAGCTAGATGCACTTGTTTTAGGTATCCCAATACGTACATCACTAGTTGCCAAACAAGTCGCGGATACAAATTCACCTGCCGCCCCTCTCGAACCGTCTCATCGATCAAAATTCATAGTTAGCTGTCAAGTTAACTCAAACCAATCTGTACCAAGTTATTCTTATCGAAAACTGATTAAAGAATTACAAACACCCACCACAACAACAACATCATCACCACATACAGCCGGTCTAGTTTGGATAAGTGCTAGTAGCGAACGACAGGAAAAAATTCTGTTTACACAGCAACCAACAATATTCAAAATTAAAAACAAACAGCTTAAATCTCATCATCTACAATCGGCATCTAATAGTAGTTCTGACACATCAAGTAGTTCTAAAACATCCACTGAAATAAGTACAACCACCACCAAAAGTAGTATATCAACAACAAGTACACAATCAACTCGTCGAGGAAACGTAACGACATCCTCTTCTGTTACATCGACAGTTATCACAAACGAAGAAACCCAAACAAGCAGTTCATCGAGTTCACCCATTCGAACGACAAATAAAAATGCAGTAAATCGTCGTTCAGTCTTCAGCTTATCTACATCGTCGTCAAATAGTGCAAATTCAACCAGTAATAGTAGTTCAAGTAGCGCAACATCATTCAGTTCTTTTAGACAAAAGACAAGAGTAAGTACATCTAAAACAGTTAAAGATCACAAACGCACCATTCAACCTATAAAACAACAATCATTGTATCCAGCTCGATCACAAAATAACCAAGATGATTTGACTGAACTCGATTTCAACTCAGTTCATGGTAATCAAGAAACACCACAAATAAGGTAGAAAACCAAATTTTATTCATCTTTTTTGCTAAAATCATCCATCCTAATTTTTCCATAATTTTTCAATGATAGCAAAAGTGAAAAAAAAATTAAAATCGGTACATGAAGCGATGCTACGATGATAATAACTGATGACGTATCAACAAATACATTTAAACAAATAAATTGTTCACTGTATGAAACTGTTATAGAAATTACAAAGACAATATCGGATAATGAAACCGATAAAATCTGGCATGAAAGAGTAAATATTGATGTATTGGAATAATTATTGTTTTTACCATTTATTTGACGTCGAAATGCTCTATGGTGTACCATTCAATACATCAAATAGTGATGATAATAATAAAATAGAGAATGCAAAATTTAAAGAGAAACGACAAGCAATTACACAAAATGATAAATATTCAATGTCTACATTTTATTTAAAATTGACTTAGAAATAGTCTTCATTGAATTTTTCCATTTTGTCGCTTTTTTAGTCAATAAACTAATTTATTTAAAACCTTTTCTCGTGTTATTTTTGTTATCGAATAGTTTGGAAAAACCATCTATATTCCATCTATGCTGCAGACATCTGCAAACCTTTGTTCGATTCATCTGAAAGGGAACAGAATTTTTTTTACGATAGTAGAAATAAACGAATACCGAGAGAAAACAAATAGTAAGAGTAATTATCTTCAGCAGAAACTCCTTTAAGTGCACGTTGGAGCTGCACGATGCACACTTGAAAGAATTATCAGACTCCAAAAAATAAATGTACAAAGATTCTTACTTAAAATGGTTCTGTTACTCTCTAATCATTTAGAAGAGCAGGTCGTTCGCTTTCAAACAAAACGTTTACAACTGAAATGTAGAAGTTACGGCTTTGTCATGATAATAATATGAATTGTTATTATTTTAGATGTTTTATGAAGTCGTCTTTCTCATTACAACATGTCTTCGACATATCTCCACAATTCCTAAACAACAAGTCAGTTTAAACAATGATAAAGATAATGATCAATCTCTTGATATTATCGTCGATGTTAAAAGTGGTTCCGAAGCATTTGTAAGTAATGTAACCACTTCAACTCTGCACGGTAAGAAAAAAAGCGTCCGAAAATGCGCCTACTAGAAAACGTCCACGAAAAGCATACTAAAAAGGCGTCGACCACAATTAGTTCACAAAAATTCATCCATGTAGAAACATTAAGTGATAAGCATAGTAGTTAAGTGCATACTGCGTAGATGAATCGTTTCAACTACACTAGTTTATCTCAGAAACGACTGTTTTCCTGGGATAGTGAATCGACCCAGCAGGTCAGACGTGCTTCCAGAGTATAGTGCGGCCCTCAGTGAGTCAAATATTATTTAGAAATCTCTTCAAATTTTGTTTTTTCATGTGACTAGAAGCATAAGAAAAAAATCGTTTACAAAAAAGCATCCAGCAGAAAACGTCCAGTAATAAAGCAGTACCAAGAGATGACGAAAAAACGGTCAACTAAAAAGCATTAACTTTTGGACATTTTTTTTCTGCCGTGTAGTCAAATGTATAGTGCTTCAATTTAGAGTAATAATGATTTAATTTTAATTTATCGTGCTTATAATCATAATGGGAAAAATGAAATTATTTTAACAAAACCATTTCTATTACACTTGTACACGGAATCTGCTCAACTTTACGATATCGATTTTATCAAGGTAGAATCTATTACGTTGTTAGATTCACAAACATTTGTTTCTTTTTATAGAGTGTAAATAATAAACCCCATTCAATTGCTTACAATCGACATGTGATGTATAGAGATGATTTAGAGCGTTGTGAAAGAGATATTGAAAATGAAGCATATTGTGGATACAATGGTGTCGATGTAAGAACATCGAGAGCAGCTAAAGTAAGAAAATAGTTTGTATGATTTTATTTTGAGTACAGAGATGACGTATCACTCCGAATCAATGTTAAAAAATTATTGCTATCAAGCAGACTTTTCAAACTATTAGTTGTAATTATAAAAACAGAAATGTCATCATCATAGTATCCATGGTTAACATGATGTCTTGAATCTATCTGAAACAACATATGTTGCCGTTAATAGAAGAAATTAATCTCACTTATCAGTTTTTTATCATCAGGTATTTTATTTTGACACAAGATCAACAATAACAGAAAAACGATGATGGCGTTCAGCGTGTCTTTGAAAAAGATGGTGATCACTATACATGGGTGATGCTGGAAAAGTTGTTCAAGTAATTATCCCAAGAGGGGAAAAGCGTTTTGGACTGGTATGGTCTGTAAGACAGGAATGGTACGGAATGACCCATTCCAGCCCATTTCGCTTTCCCCCCTTGAATTATCCAATATAAAGTTCGGGCAATGTGAACAGTTTATCAGTGTGCATCACTTTTTTCAAAGAAGAAATTGAGTGTTTTCCTGATACATCTCAAAAGAATATTGAATATATCTTTGTAACAAAAAAGGGACGACAAATGTTGAAGAATTAAATTTGCCTTAAAAATTATAAAATGCAGAACCTACAGATATGCATAGAGAAATAACTACAAAGCAATCAAAATCTTCATAACTATATCACTGTGTTTGTTCATCATCAGACGTCTCAACATCTGAGGAGCGAAAGTTGAAGAAGATGTCAAATGATATCCTTTAATCCTAAAAATTAGTTCTGCTATCATGTAGTCTATCAGCGACCACCGTATCCGTAAAGATGGTATATGCCATTTTTTCTTCCTTGAATTTGCAATACGAAAGCTGAACTTAATGAATTTATATCAGAAAATGAATTATCTAGATTTCGAAGTGAATCAAGTACCAACGACAACAAATATACATACCAGTGTGCTTCATACACGAAATTTTCATCATGTGATATTCAACTGCAAGCAATACAAAAGAGCAATGAAGACGAATCGTTTCAAGTGTCAAAATCTGACGAATGCAATCATACTGAAAGAATACCAATAACAAGACCACCTTCTCCTGCTCGAGAAGATGTAATAACCTATGTAGCAAAAACCTGTTACCAAACTGTTCAGAATGTGATAGACCAAAAACGATCTAACCTTGCTCTACTTTTTTGAAATATCATATATATTTGTAGTACAAATAGGGCTGCAAAAAAGTACAGATTTTGTACTTTTTTGCATATAAAACCAGTCATATACAGATTATAATTTACTATCGAACATTTTGGCAATTAATATGATCATTCTCTTTGCAGTCTTTTTTAACTCGGAATTCTGAACCATTCTCTTTTCAGCACTAACTGCGACCTCTTTTCGACTTTTTCGTTTTATAATTCCGACCGTTCTCTAATCACTTTAAATTTGATCATAAATAGGCAACCGTTCTATATTTAGCTCTAATTCCGTTCTGTAAAAAATCCTAGTCCCATCACAATCGACAAAATACGTTAAGATTTATGTTAATTGTATTAGGGCTATTGTTGTCGAAACTGTCTTAACAAAACGTCTGGTATAAACATTTTGTCTGAATGTGCAAATGATGAAACTCTTTTAACAACAAATTGTATGAAAATGGATCCTTTATGGTGACTGTTTATATTTTTTCATCTATTCGTCTAGCAAACATCTCTTCTATTTAGGTACGATGTCTATTCGATTGGAAAACGTCGCGTGCATTTTTTTGCAACACTGTACATCTATGAATTATTCGAGCAAGACAATGGCGACCTGCAATGGATACGGTTATTGAAAGCTGACATTAATGAGAGTATGATTATACACAAAGATACAAATCAAGATTTTTTTTCATCGACGAGTCAAAATGATAGAGATGTTGAATTGTCTTGGAGTGATCCGACAAAAAATTCTAGAAATCGTCACTATGATTTCCAGTCTCAATATTTACTCGTCAGACAAGCAATATTAGAAAAAAAATTAAATAAAACAAGAAATAATGAACAAATCAATGTGAGCCTTGCTAACAAAGAGTCAACAATTTTTAAGGATCCCGCTCTTTACGACGTGAAAATTTTATTTTTTTTTAATTTTTCCTTTATAACGGCATTTTGTAGTGTCGCATATGCTGCAGATGATGCCTACATTTGTGCCCGAAAGAGTTCGTAGTACACTTTTTTCCGAATATCAATATTGCCTTATGTTTTGATTAAGATCATTCTTTTGCAATATGTAAAAGTTTTGAAGCAACGTACAAATCTCAAAAAGCGGAGGTTTTTTTCAAACAATTATTTTCTCGTTTAGGATATTAATGGTGAATTTTTGTTGGTGGATAAAAATAATTTTAACGTTGATGGTTTATGTAAAAAAGTGGCCGTAACAGGACAAAATTTAGCCATGTATTCTCAATATTGTTCAAGAGATTTCAATCGTCTAAAATGTTTGGATCGACAACCCTTTGATTATTGGCTTTATGATAAAGTGAGTAAGAATAGAAGCAATGCAATTTTTCCTGATCCTATGATTTATTTTTGCTTTTTCAAGTCAAATAAGTTCAACAAACGTCAAACTCGATATTCCTTACGATCGTATTATCCACAATTGATTTCTATGCCGTTGTTTGTAAATAAAATGAGTATAAACGATGAACTAAAATTAATTATACCAGAAGAAAGATATTACCGTGTAAATATTAGCCTAAAACGATATATGAAACGACACGTTACATTAGAGTAAGTACAATAGTCAAAAATCGATAGGATGCTATTACCTGGTTTACCTGTCCGTCATTGTTATGCATTTTAGTTGTTCTATATCCATTCCTGAGATAACATCAGAATGGTTTCATGAAGAGTATCAAATTGGCTTATACTTGAATAATAGTGGGTTGAGTGTATGCAATGTTAATATATCGATTGAAGACTGTCATCCTCCACTTAATTATACAATCAACCAGTTAAATTTAGAAAATTCGATTCTTATTAGTCCGTCATACAAACAATTAATTTATTTTACAATATCGCAACAAAAGATCGAGTCAAATCTAAAATGTCATGGTATAAGATAGAAACGTTTTTTATTTAATATTTTAAGGTGACAATTGTTAAAATATAAGCAACAGATTATCAACGTGTTCACTGTCTTTTTCTCAACACTACCGACGTTATTAATCAGAGATTGTACTAACAAAAAAACTTGCTGTTCTCTTTTTGTTCATCAAATCAGAGATCTAAAAAGTTGCTGTTTTTTAACTGTTCATTATTAGTAATAGTTACAAATGTTAAAATTCATCGCCAAATAGCTAAACGACAAATATCAATGAGTAAATCAAGTCATTGTGTTTGCATATCAACATGTAAATGTAAAGTAAGTTTCAGTGAGATAAATATCTTGATTGTTTATTAAATTTTTGTATTTAGTGTTTCAAAAACAATTTTATACCCAAAGAATCTGATTTGAAATGTGTTTTAATGAAATCAAATGATATTCAGCTCGCCGGTCTGTCTACTATTGTATCATTAAATTTGTCTAATAATAAAATTCAAAGTCGCCGAAATCGTACAACATCTGTAAAACAATCATTGTATCTAACAAAATGGTTTATTTTTATTGCTGTACTGGCATTATGTCTGAGTAAGTAAAAAGTATATGTATAAAAGATCATTTTATATTCGATTTTGAGTAGTTTTAACGTAATTAAAATTCGATACCAGGACTTAATACCTCGGCGGAGAATGATTTAAAAGAGGATGTTCTAAATTTTAACATGTAACCAAAAATCTTACATTTCTTGTTTTCGAAGTACTTCATGTCTAATAATAAACAAGGTGCTTGATACTGCATCGTAAAGCTGCATAAATCTTATTATTTGTTAGTTTTTTTGAGATGGATTATTGGTCTTTACTATCCTCGAATAAGCGATATTGGTCTTAGTGTATGGTCAAGAATAAGCTAGTGAGTTTTACTGTTTTGTACAATAAATTCTTAGATAGAATTTTTGCTTTTTATAGTAAAAATGGTTCTCGTCGATGATAGTCACCGCTTTTCTTCGATTTGTCCTTGATATCCATTTTATACTTGTTTGAAACGTCGAAATATAAACAAAATATAACAGAAAAATATTTCAATTAAAACACACAAAAGTGATTGTAAACTGATATAATTGATTTTTCTCACCGTTTTAGTTAATTTTATCGACAATGTATACTGGAAGGAAGAAGGAAGAATATCAGAGGTGCAGAATCTTACGTTTGCGCAACCGGCCGGTTGTGGAAAAATTTTGAAAAAATGTCTTTACTGTGGAAATTTATGGGAAATCGTCGACACTAGGAAACTTAGAGGAATTCTAAAAAGTGTTAAGCACGGAGAAAATCAAGGGAAAAAACCTTTAAAGGAAATTGTTCCCTTCATAAGTAACTGCTGAAGAATAATAATCCTTGTTAGATATCCCTTTGCTTTCTATGTCCTCTCTTTCCTTCCTGTCTCTCTGTCTGTGTATGTTTCCTCTCTCGCTCTCTTGTTGAAGGTTCGCTCTCTTCTACAAGAAAACCGAACAGTATCGCCTATTCAACTTAGTCTCACCGGGTTCAGTTGTCTTGAACCGTCTGCGAAAAGAACAAGTACAAAGAATTCCTATGTTGTACGAAGAACAGTGACAGAGAAACAGAAGAAACTTGTGCCTTCACTTTGAACTCTTTTTATTCGTCAAATAAAGCTCATATGTGATTTGAAGAAAAAATGGCTTGTGGAAATTTTTGGGAAAAAATTTTTCGGTTGTGGAAATTTTTGGATTTTGTGTAAGGTTCTGCACCTCTGAAGAATATCCCGCCTTGCGACTACCGTTACCCGTGTAGGGTGCTGCCAAATGGTAGTTTCAATAGCTCAGTATTTTCCTGCAGTTGACAAGCTTCTGAAATGGTCACCCATCTTATTACTAGTCATCAATTGCAGCTCTGGCCAGAAGGCTAGCCTGACGCAGAGTTCTTTCGCTCAATTACTTGATACACACTTCACTAATCACGTACTACCTTTCCGAAAAGCTACGCGAACTTAGCCCGAGGAACTGCATTGTACGTTACAACGTAGTCAGTATGCTGTCAGACGGGTGATCCGAGACACTAAGGCATAAGTAACTTGTCCAAGATTATCACATGACTTTGCAATGTATACTGACTGATGATCTGATAAGATTCAATTGTAAGAGGTTGATATATTATTCGATTTCAACCTAAGTATGGATCGACTTTCAGTAAATTATCTTTTAAATTTCAAATCATTTTAAACAATTCTTCAATCTAAGAAAATATAATACGGTTTGTTTCTAATGACTTTTTCAGTACAATATTTCTATTTCTTAAAACAATGATACAATTGTTGTTGTTATTTCAATAGACAGATGTTACCAAAAACAAAACTAATTATTCACATATTTTTTCGTTTACATAAACTAAAACTAAAATTACATTTTAATGATAAATAAAAATACAAATGCTTTTAATACATGGCACAGCACGGATTTTAAACTTCAGTAGTCGTCCCGTTCGTCTTTTATCATTATGTCCGGTCATATGATCCGTCGACAACCTTTTACATCTATCTAAAAGAGAATAGAATAGAAAAGATAAATGACCACCTACAGATCTCACAAAAAGGCAGATGGCCTTCTCTTTAGTAAAAAACAAAAAAAATCATCATCATCATTATCACATTTCTCTCCCAATTGAAAAGAATAACAGACTAGATATACATTCTATATTGTACATGATTCCATATGTTCAATGACTGGTATCAATTATCTATGCCGGTAGTTTGATGAAGAAAGATCAATATTAGATTGAACACAAATTACCAAAGAATAATTACGATTAGTATAATTTTTGTTCAGAAGTGATTTCTTCACCTTGGCTTTCACAATGGTTTAAAGACCAAACACAATGTGATTTAATTAATTTAAATCACGGTGCAGTATGTTGAGGAAAGATCGCTATCACCTAAAACATAAGTCATATAACACATTACTTACTATGGTATACTTGATTGAGTTTGAAACGTTAAATTTAAAACACTACGAATGAAATTGTTTCTCTTCAGAGATATTGTCAATTTTGACACTCTGAAAAGAAAGAATGCCGCCAAAGACTGATAATGTATGAGTTTTAGCATCTCTAATTCGCATAAAGTTCGCAGTATTCAATAGGTGATCCATATTAAACTACTTGATCGTAAACTTTACAAGTTTGTACTTGCATATCAAGCTACTTTTTAAATTTTTCAACAAATTCCAATGAGTTATGAATTTTCAAAGTTTTGTTTTATTCAGAATATCGATCATCGTGTAATTTATTTGAAAAATTCCTAATATATTAATTTGAGTGAAAAAATTCTATATTTTGCATATACTTACTATAAAGGGTACCTATAAATTGTAGTGAAGGAAAAAGTTCGAAAAAATTTATTTTCTTATGTTTTTTTCTAATTAGCTAGCCTTTCGACTATCATCAGTGATCTATTTTACACTGAATCATTTTTCATAACCACTGTCTAATATATTGATATGATTAAACTCAAACGAATGTCATAGATACTGAGTAAGAAACTGTCTTTTTGTTTTTTATTTATCAAAGTGCATCTAGTTATATTGTTTGCTATTCAATTGAAGATCGTTCCATGTGTTTCTTTTCACTATTTTATCCTCTTTACCGTCTTTAACCACGAATAAACACATTGATGTAATAAAATATGCTCTTTTTTTAATTAGGTCATGTATAATATGTTTTCAATATCCGTAATATGAGAGAAGAGAAGAGATTACAATTTAGAAGAATTTAACACTTGTATTTTTACATGTTAACTGTTGAAGCGTTTCTCGTCATACATTCTCGGTCTAATAAATTTTAAACGGAAATTTATTGAATTTTCATCTGTATTAAATAATAACATAAATCTGTGACTATTTAATTTCCTAAATAATTATAACAATCAAGAACAACGACTACAGTTGAATGTAAATGAAAAAAACAAATGTCACATTTCTTAGTTTTAGTTTAGAAAAACGTTTTATTCTTGTCTAATGTTAGTCGACAGATTATCAGCATTTCTATTTAAAAAAAAAATATATCAAACATCTAAACTATGTACAGAAAATGAATCACTGTTTGTTTGTTTTTAAAAAAAATATATAAATAAGACATATTGTTTATGTTCAAAAAATAACAATATAATAAAAAAACTTTTCATTTCTTATTTACAATACACCATCATCTTCAACATCTATTTCTTCATCATCAATATCCATATCAATTTCATCGATTGTATCACATGGTGTCGATAGAATACGATTTGATTCTGATGTATTTTCTAAAAGAAATAAAGAAAAGAAAAGTTTAGTAATGTGATATGTTCAAAAATAGTTTCAAAGAGTTAGAATCAAGTATTGCCTGAAAATTGAGAATTTTATACTAGTCAATGTATTATTAGATTTATGTGATTAATTTTTATTCTTTGACGAATATTGTTTGCATGAACTATAATGGTATGCATGCTTCTTTTTTTTTTTACTTTTTTTTTATCAAACTAAGTGCGATATTCCTATCATCTACAAAAATTTCAATAAGTTTTCCATTTTTATTGTTTGTGTCTCATCTGACACGAAAAATTTCGATTTTTGTTTGATTAAAAAAGACAATAGATTTCCTTCTTATTTTTTTGAGATCAATAGGCTATGACACGTTGAACAAATAGACATGATACAAATATTTTTTTCAAGGCTAAAAGCTTTATGTATATGTACGATCAAAAGCATACTGGAACAGGATTAACAAGTTTTCTTTTTTTAAGAAATAAAATTTGATGTCATGTATGAAGAACGTACAGAGTCTATGTGTGTGTGTGTGTGTGTGTGTGTGTCAACACATCGCTGAACAAGAGAGAACAATTAGATGCACATCAAGTTGTGTAAAGTGACTTTTATCACCTTTTTTTTATTTTCTAGAGTCTTATTTGAATAAACAATTAATATAATGTGAGAATGTATGAGCAATGAGACAATCTCATGGTATGGTGTGTCATACGATCATTATACACACTAATGAAGACAAGACACATCTTTTCTTAATGAGATTGACAGGCAAAAATGAACTTCAAACTGCGATGAAAAGTGATTTATTTCATGACAAGATAGTGAAAACAGTGTTAAACGTTGAAATTAATTTATATATTTTTAATATGGCCGACAAAAAAGAATATTACTGAAAAAGCTCGCTCGATCAAGCATAATGAATAGAAGGGTTATTGCTGATATTGTTCATAAATCTCACGACTATCGAACTTTATCTCGTAATCATATCCAATATCAGTATGACCACTTTTCTCTAGGATACTCTCTTTACAAACAATTACATTAGGTAAGTATGATATGCGGTTCCGTTTGATGTGGTACTAAACATATAACTGATTTTTTTTCTCCATATTATAAAAGTTTTAATCAACTTCTTGAGTCGTACGTAATTGCCTATTTTTTAGTTGTTATTCTCTGCAAAAGAGTTGAGCTGTTCAAACAACTTAATCTATGTAAAATAGGGGTTACATTTATATATGGCTTTTGCCAGTCGAAGAGTATAGATAAGAGAGAATTGAGCCACTCATCTTGATATCAAAGTGACTAGACTTTCTGTTCGATTCTATGATTAAATATTATAGTTAAATAAAACATGAAAAACTTACCATTATGATTTGTTCGAATATGTGATCTTAAATTGCATGCTAATGAAAATTTTTTATCACATTTTTGACATTCAAAAGGTTTTTGTCCACTATGAATTAATAGATGATTTTTTAGATTTGTTTGTTTGGAAAAACCACGTGAACATTCGGGACATCGAAATGGCCATGTACCATTGTGAACATGTGAATGACATCTCAGATCACCGGGAGTCGAAAAACTTTTTGGACATTGTAAACATTTATGTGGTTTATCCTGAAAGAAAAAAGAAAAATTAATTTAATTAAATAAACTATCAGAGAAATGTTGAAACTTACTTTTTGATGTGTTAATTTATGATAGTATAAATTACTACTAGCTGTAAAACATTTACCACATGTCTCACAAATGTGTGGTTTCTCACCACTGTGTATACGACGATGAGTATTTAATGAACTTGATGTTGAAAATGCTTTATCACATACATCACATGCATGAGGCTTTTCACCTATAAGAAGAAAAAAGAGAATATTATTTTTTCTAATAATAACAGTAAAAATGTTGTTTAGCTTACCGGTATGTGTTCGTATGTGTCGAGTTAACAATGATGGACGATCAAATGCTTTACCACATCGATCGCATGCCCACATACGACGTTCCTTACGAGGTTGTTTAACAGGCAACTAGAAAAGATTAAACAGATGTTAGTGTATTCAGAATAACTCATAGTTTTTATAATTTCTATGACTTACATTATTTTCATTTTGTTGAGTATATGATGGATGTACAAACGATGGTAATTGTTGTTGTTGTTGTTGTTGTACTTGAAAAAATGAAGATGGTATATTTGGATTTAGTGGCTGAAGACCAAAACGCTTTTTAGGTGATATTGATGTTATCATCGATTTTTTAGGTGTTGATGATGAAATGGGTTGAAGATGAGATGAAATCATATTTTCTTTGTTTGTACATGAATGAAATGCACTTGTTGCATGGTAACGTTGAGATAATGTGAATGATGGTGAAGCAGAAGCAGAGACTTGTTTTGAAGTTGATGACGAAAGAATGTTGTCGATTAAAAATGACGAACCAATCGATGAATATTTACTAGACATCCTAAACGAAACAGATACATTGTCTTACAAAAAGCTTATACAAATAAATAATTAGCTCTTGAATTAAGGATAAAATATTTTAGAATCTACTTCTTTTTACAGCTTCCCACAGTCAAAAACACTCATTGTAGTAAATACTATTGCTCCTATTCATAGTCATTTCTGCATAAATATATTAACTATAAAAATAGTATTACATTTGTGCTCTGTTAATTTGGAAAAGTCAAATCTTGTAGATCATAGAATATTAATTAACTCCACTATAGCTGAAGAAGTTTTCAGTAGATGAGGTGCTTTATCCGAAGCGTGATATACATATACATATGAAAACCATATCACCCACATACCTTGTATTTATAATGGTTCAATATTGTAACGTCAAAAGATTAAGTTTATTTTTAGCTATAGAAGAACAAGGTCAAGTTGTTGATCGTTTTTCAAATAATGATTAAATATTACGATGAGATTACGTCGACGATTACGTTATATTACGAAGAGAGAGAAAAACATTTTTTTTTTTGTTTTTCTTTTTTTTGTTCACGTAATCAAGACGAGCCATATTCGGTAATTTTATTCGTTCTTCTTACATAATGAACATATGTTACGTATGTATGTGTGTCATATTGACCCATTAGAAAGAAGAAGAACGTATGCAATCAGAAAACAGTTAGATCATTGACCAATAAAATGTGAGAGAAATCAGTGATCAACAAGAATAAAAATTTCATACAGTTTATTTAATGATCGTTGTTGAACCTGTACAATATTGCAGATAAAACACCAACCAATATATGAACTCTCCTAATGCTTGGATTGTACATAACAAGAAAATCTTTTTTAGTTTTTGTGATTACCCGAATAAAATGCCGCTTTTTAATGTTGATATATAGGTGAAAAATCTTTTTTGACTGTTGAAAATACTGCTTCAACGATACATTAAAAAATAGAGAAGTTGTAAAACCCTCATCTGTTGTCTAATGCACTGTTTAAGCAGTACTTCGTTGAAAGATATGTCAAAACTCTATCACATTTTGTAGAATATGTTTTAAGCAATGCATGCATACTTCAATAGAAACTGTAATATATGATAAAAAACGCATAATAGTGAATTGAAACCAATATTTCTCTACTATTATGATCATTACAAAATCTTTCCAGAAATTTATGGCAAAAAAATGTGTGCCAAACGGCATAATAGAAAAAGTGTCATTAAATATGAGTCTACGAAAAGTCGTTGAAATAAAGTGTTTAGTAATGATTCTATTTCAGTATATAGTGCGTAATATATGAATTTTTTGACTGTATTAGTTTATCTCAAAAACGATTGATTTCTTCCCGATGATGATTTGTCTCAGCAGTTAAAATGTATGTTCAACGTGTAATGAAATCGAGTCATATCAGAATTCATTTTTTCATGTGAAAAAATTTGTTTACGAAGAAAGCATAGCAATAAGAATTTAAAAAACATTTACGAGAAAGTAACAACTTTTGAACCCTTTTTTTCTGTCTTAAAGATTTCATTTAAGTTTGATCATTTCAAATTCCCAATGAATAAGGATGGATTCAGGAGATTTACACATTAATATTCATTTTTAACAGTCTTTATATTAGACGTTTTGTTTCTTATGTATAACTGACTCTTCGATCTCTTTAGATCAATTAAAAACAGGTAGAATTTGATTCTAATTGAATGTGGATATAAAGAAAAACATTTTGTTCAACTCATAAATGATCGTCACCATTGAATCGACTCTCTTTGAAGTGATTAAAAAAAAGTAAAACCTGGTGACATACATGTCAAAAAATTTAATTTTATTTGCAAATAAACTTAATAAATATTAAAAAAAATATATTAGTGAATAGTTGTTTGTTTCAATTCGCACAGGAAACAGACATAAGAAATAAATGTAATCATTCTCTCTCTGTTTATAAATCTAATTATATTTATTTAACATAGCTATTTGTTTTCCTATGTAGGTTACCGACATTTCTCTATGTGATACTCATTAAAAAATTGTGTCACATCATCGTCTGTCATGCTTTAACGCTTCTACATAGAGAGATCAATGTTATATTTGATCTTAGAATAAAAAATGGAATAGCTATAAGAAAAAAAGATGAGCAACAAGAGTACTCACTCTATCACCCACTAAGACAAAATCAGCCCGATGGCGTTAATTATAGAAAAAAAAGTATCAATCAAATATGTGATTGATCAAACAACATACATGACATTATTCAAATATCTCATTATTTTACGTGTATTCTCTACACTCTTCGACATTTTCTATATGTTTGAAATAAACTCTTGAAAAATTTAATTTTCTCTTTTGTTGAGTGAATTAATTATAATCATATACTCGGGGAGATGACGTACTTGAACGACATTTCGATGCCTAAAGAGACAATCAACTCTTCATTTATTCGATAGTGGTATACATTAGAGATGTCCACACAGGTACCGTTTTCTGTTCCGTGCCCGACCTGAAAATTTCTTTTTTATCCGTATCTGAGATGCCTAAAAATTTAATTAATAACCGACTTATGCCTAAAAATTTTCTTCTTTTCCATTTCCAGCTAAAAGCTTTTATTTTTCGGCTGGTGATGTCAAGTTCGCTGGTCTCAAGTAACTCTTTTAAAACTTAATGTATTTTAGCTAAAACCTTGTATTTTTTCACTAAAATTTTGTGGTTTTCCACTAAAAACTTTCCAATTTCAGGTAAATTTAAGTTCATACAACTTCATACTCAATCTTCGAGCAGGTTGCACATCTCTAGTTTACATTCAACAAAATGAATGTTCAATATCAATAAAGGGCAACGATCAGTGTAATTTTCTAGATTTTTGTGTTGATAATGCCCGTTTCTGGTCGAGAATTCCGCAGAAAATTATAATTGAAATCAAAAGATGAACTTGGCTGCAGTAGTTAATACGTCAGATTAAAATAAATGTTAGAAATAGAATTTTTATCCAATTTTTTTCTTCTTCAAAATTAGCATTATGCTGTAGATATAGATACGGTTTTTAGAATCTTCTTGCTAATGTCTAGTAATAAAATGCATCATCCCAACACATCTGAATAAAAATCGTTTGATTTTTATGACAGTGTCAATTGGCTCGATTAATCGTCACGAAAATGTAATATTGTTTGATGAACAATCAATTTCAGTCTATATCTAATTTTTCATCAGTCACACACTCTGTGGGTGTCTGATACGCGAAGATTCTTCTACATACGTACAACACACACATGTTGATTCATTTTATTCTCATTTTTGAATTTATTGTCACCGTCATGTGATTTTTCTTCTATTTTATTTTTTTGATATCTGTTGGAGAAGTAGTATAGTAATGTTGATTAGTTACTAGAGCGTCTAATCAGCATGTTAGAGATCAATTTTCAAACGAATTTTGTATAGATAGACATTGTAATAAATGATATATCTAATCAATAGATGTGATGAGAAGATGAACTTGAGAAATATTTAAAATAGAGATGTGAATTAGGATGTGAAAATACAATAAGACGAAAAAGTATTTATTTTTATGTAAAATAGATGTATTAATTAATCAAATTCAGTTCATTTAAAACGAAAGTTGATAATCGTAGAAAGATGGCTAGTACTGAAAATATCATTTCTTTTAGAGATTTATAACGGTTTTCTACTACATAGATAAAAAATGTTTTGATCTAGTTTTATGCAATAAAAAAGATGCAATAATTTTAACTCTTTGGTATTTATAAGATTATCATTCTTCTCCTCTATTATATCACACATTTGCACATTATGAGTCGTATATCCTATCTCTCAATTCTATTTAATGTTTTGTGATCAAATTTACACGTTTTTAAAAAATATAAAGAACAAGAGGTGTCATTGTATACTTTGAACTTTTATTGCATTACTTAGCTTTAATTTTTTTAAAAGTGTTATTTTGTTCGCACCATCCCACATTGTCAGATATATTAAAAGAAAAAAATATATTATGACGACCAAAATGTATCAGTATACTATGGATTAGAGTCATTCACAAAAAAAACTTGATATGGCGTCAGATGAGAGTGATTTTGATCAGAAAAACAAAACAACTAATCGATAACAAAAAACAACAATTCAAGTTGGTATTAATTTATCTAGAAACACTTGTAGATTCATTGGATTTATAACAAATTACGTCCACTATACTAGATTGAATGATCACCATTGTTTTGTTTTCGAAATTGAAAATAAGTTAATTGTTTTTCTTCTCTAATAAAAGATAGAAAACATTGTGTTCTACTGTTCATTTATAGTGTCTGTTCTATAGAAATCAATGAGAACATATAGTCGATTGTTAGATTTAAAATATCATTGAGCAAACATGAATAATCATTTTGTTCTTAAGTTATATATTCACCTTTTAATAATATCACGATGATTTTTATCTAAAATGTAATATTATACCAGTATTATCTAGTATTATTTTTATTTGATCTCTGGAGTACATAAGCATAAAAAAGATAAACAATGAAGTTTTCTTATCATATTTCTTTACTGATGCCACAATCGGTTAATAAAAAACAAAACAAAATGAGACATAAAATATACAAGACAGATATCAGGATAATATAAGCAATAAAGTTTGTTTATTGATAGTTTTTCCATGATAGAATTGAAGTAGAATTGAGATATAACTCAGAAAGTCGTTTTACATTGCATGAGACAAAAAATTAATGATATTAGACAAATACTCATATGAGTTTTTCATCTCACCATCATCTTTATGTTCAATATTACATTTTTTCACCTAAATATTATTGTAAAAGTAATAAAAAATTTGTTTAGATGGTGTTAATTGGCTTCGAGCATCGTCTCTTGATCAATAATACGTGCTAATTGTTTTGATGTTTCAAATTGAAATAAAATGATTATTGTCATGTAATTCACAAGTCAATGTTGACTTATATTCGAAAATAAATACAGTTTAGACCTCTTTCTTTCTATACATGTGAACTGCTT